TATAACGTAGATGGAGCTCATAAAGTGTCCAGTGAGTGGAAATAACAAGGCAAGTATGGATTGTGAGTGTAAGCAGAGGAGGTTTCCAAACTTTTGGGGGCCCCTACGTGACATCCTAGTAGGCCCGCCATTCATGTACGTGATATTAGCTTGTGAAGAATGAAGGAAGAAAAAAAAATCGCTATGGTAAACACAAACAATTATTAACTATATATGGCGCAAATAGAACTAAAAATAAACTACAATACAAATAAAACAAAAAAGATATTGTTGCTGTTTTTGTTGCTTTTCATTTCTATTATGTGGAAATTTCATTAAGATTGATTCAAAAGAATTGACTTGTAATATAATTTCTTTATGCTAAATTGAAAAGCAAAAATAAGTTAGTATTTTGAATTTTGAAGGTTTTGGTCTGACAGTGACGAAATGTAAAATGAAATAAATAAATGCAAATAAACTGCAATGTTTATCTTCAGTGATGTATCTCAGGCATTTTTATCAATATCAATGTGAAATATTGATTTTATCAGTATCATAACAGAAATCAAATGATAACCTGCCAAAAAAACAAAAAAAAACCCAAAAACAAATACTGCTTAATGTTTATGTCCTGAGTGCAGGCAAAAATGACAGACACATGTAAATAAACCAGCAAAAAGGGATCAACTGTTTAAAAAGTATTTATTGTGCTGCAAAGAAACAAACAAAAATAATACATGAAAATTGAAAAAAGATCTGCTGTGCTACGGGAGTCAAATCTTCATCTACCCTCTTTAGAAATCTGCAATATCACCACCAGTACTGACAAGTCTTGCTTTTTTACATGAGCATAAAACACCAGTAGTATACAAACTCGAGAAGGGCTCTGTGGATAGACTGAGTGAGAAGGAAGAGGGGAGATCAGGAGAGAAATTTCTCCAAGTTCATTAAGCTTACTTACTGGAACGCAGGACTAGCCCCCTAACTTTTCCCTCATGGAAACAGCAATGTTCCAAAAACAAACAAACAAACAAGAATAGACATTAAAACAGTCGGGGAGGAAAAGAACAGCCTAAGTGTGGATGAAAAAGCATGTACTGTTTCTGAACTCAGTCATTTTGAAGCACTCTTGAGAGACCAAGACAACAACAAAACAAGTTGCACGATTTCAGCTGTGTCTTTGTTTGAAACTCCTATACGCTCAAATTGCTCTGCTCATCAATAAATTATTAAGGTAATTAAAAACAATAAATTAAATCTTTCATTTTTTTCTCTTTCCAACCTTTTTTGTCTTTTTTTTTAAGTTCTGTTTTGGCGAGTGACACTCAAGTATTTACAACAATACTTGGAGGATGCACTAAAAAAAATAAGATTTCACCCTGCGAGACCCCTCGAACGTGCAGATCTGCCACGAGCGGAGGCAGTCTATGGCGTTCCTCAGTCATTAGATAAAAGCAAAAACCTGCTCAGAAGGACTAAATAGGAAAGAAAGTTGCTTTGTCATGCGCGACATTGCATTTGAACTTGAAAGTGAGCTGCACATCCATTAGTGTGCTGCTCATTAATTATGCATGCGCCTCACTAAAGTCTGTCATATTTGCTTTGTAGAAGCGACGCAGCTTTGTGGTTTTATTCTACAAAACAATCCTTCACAGCGCTCCATTACGCTGTTTGTTTACTGCATCTCTCCGTTATGCTTTCCGACTTGGCGTGACTGCGAGGCAACTTTCAGTGAGTTGTCCTGTTTGCAGAGTGAGCCGAGTTGTTATGCAGAGTATCAATAAGAAGGAAACGTTCCTCATTAGCTCACATTACCCCGTTAACGCTCGCTTCAAACCCGTCAGAGATGTGGCCTAATCGTAAACCGCAAGGAGAGACGTTCTTTTTTCTTTAATTCGTTTTGGAACGAATGAACCGTCACTGCTCTGCATGGGATCCCGCAAGGTTTTTAGGAAAAACAAAAGGGCAACTTTTTTTTTATGAAAGGATTTGTTAGAAAACAAAACAAAACAAAAAAGAAGAAAGAAACACAAAGGTTACGTATTTCTCTATATAAAAGTGCCAAAATGTATAATTCTACAAACATTATCAGACAAGAGATTTAAGGTACAACCAAGACAAACTATCACAAGAGTACAGCCCCTCCCCCTCCCCGCCCCCCTCTCTTCAACAGCTTATGTCTGCCGAGGTTCCAGTAGTTGAGAAGCCTGCAGGGACCCGTGACCAGAACAAAGGAGCAACAACCAGCCACCAGCAACTCAGTCTCTGTGTTTCAGTATTATCCTTAACACGCCCTCGAATACTTCCTCAAACCTTCTTTCAACAAGAACGTACTTATTCTCAGTAACAAGCACAAAAACACCAGTTTAGGTGATTTGCTTGGCAGCTAACATGCTAAGATTGCTGCAAACTGTGTGAGCTGTAAGATGTTTTTGTGGGAAGACTATGATCCCAACATCGGCATGTTTATTTACTACCTGGGACAACCCTGCCCTAGTCGGAGAGAGCTTATTAGCTACACTCTTAAAAAGATGGTTCTTCAAAAGTTATTTAGTAAAAGGAACCATGAGGTCTATATAGAACCGTTTTATGCTTAAATGGTTATTTGCCTGGCGAAATGGTTCTTCAGATGGATGGAGAAATGTGCTTTAGATGGTTCTATATAGGACGTTTTTGAAAAGGATTCCATAAAGCACCAAAAGGGTTCTGCTATCGTTATACAATGTCAAGCTTGAAACAATAGAAGAACGCTTTTTGGTGCTAAATAGAACTCTTCTCAAAAAGGCTCTATATAGAATCATCTACAGCACATTCTCCATCAATCTGCAGAACCCCTTCATGATGCAAAGAACCATTTAATCATGCAAAGGGTTCTTTGAGTGTTTTCTTTTTAAAGAATGTATTACCATTTAAGTATGAAATGGTTTTGTATAGAACTCATGGCTCTAAATAGAACCATTCCCTTTACTAAAGAACCCTTGAAGAACCATCTTTAAGAGTGCAGCTAAGCAAATTCTGTGTTTTTTTTGAGAAGTACAAGCATAACATACATTAAGAACTAAGAAATTGGATAAGCTTGCAATTATTTCCATTTAATAATAATAATAATAATAATAATAATTCCGTTCCGCTCCTGAAGTCTACACTACTGCTGACTCGATACCTCAGTCCTCCAAAGAGCCATCTAACTTTGCTTGAGCTCATACAGTAACAAAACAGCTCTGAATGCTGCATTACGACAAGTCTCTTGTTAAAATTGAGTCAGGAGAAAAGAAAACACACTGAAATATGTGTTCATGTGCTGCTGCGAGTCTCTCTGTAAAGCCTGAAATTGTCAGTTAAAAGTCAGAAGTGTCAGTTCGGGTTTTGCGACATCATGTTTTTACATACATTCTAAAAGAATTTTTAAAAGAAGTCTTAAATGCAAAATTGACATTATACAGATGACGATATGATGTCAATAGTAAATAATTCACTTTGTTTCCCATCAGATTCATCTGCTTGGGGAAAGGGTTCGAAGCGTAGCCACGTTACAGAATATTCTTCCACATTTCACGTGCAATTACGTATTTCCATCAGAGAGGTCTCCAAATCCCAAAAACGTACATAGTGTAGCTTAAAGGGCAAGTCAATGAGGGCGTGTTAAAGACAGTCTGAAACGCAGAGAAATGTCGGATCACAACAGAGAGCCGCAGGACGCCAGAAGCGGAAGCAAAGACACTCAGCTGAAGAACACACCTTCCGGCCACAAACTGGCCCAGGGCCAGAAAAAAGTCAAAGGAAACCAAAATTACAAAAAAAGGAAACAAATAAAAATAGAATGAGATGTTCATCGTTTTCTTTCTGCCTTTTTACCGTCTGTCTTTCTCTCAACTTACTATCAAACAAGCAAGGCAATGGAATGCCTGTCATCATCGGTTTTCCATAGATAAAAATCTTTTTTTTTCTCAGTCATAAATACATTCAATAGGAAAAAATGAAACGGAGAACTTTACAGGTGAAGCAAAGTAAATGTGTGCATGCATGTGCGTTTGTGTGCACACGTACATACATGCTAACACAAACATACACACATACATATATACTCACACAATAGTTCAGGTCTTTTTCGTCGTAGCATTAATATGTACATAAATGTTCCTATAACGTGTGTAGGTTGTTCTGAAGCCAATTTCGAAGTAGACTGCTTTTTTTCCCCAAGCAAGGAAAAACAGAGAACAAAGGTGCTTCAATAACATTCCGAAGCTTCCAGAGGAGGAGGCAGGTTCGTAATCAGTAAAAACTAGGGAAAAAACACATTAAAGAGCGTTTTGCATCTCAAAACCCCCCCTAGCAAAAAGTCGTTTGATCATATTCTTTGATTCTATGTTTCCTTGCATCATTGTTTCCTAGAGGATGTAATTAATACTCTTTATAGTTCAACCCCTAGAAAACAAGGCTTAGAGAATCAAAGCAGAAAGCAGCACTTGTAGCATAGATTCATCAAACCAGTATAACTACCTTTTATATTATCTTTATACCATGTAACAACCCTTTCGTCGCAAAATATATTGTCACTTGAAGTGTGAGAAAGAGTGAGTCTGCCCTTTGTGGTAAAAATAAAGAAGCCAATGATTGTTATGTGAAAAGGGGCAAAATGCTTATACATCTAAGCAGAAATACTACAAAGAGACCAACACGAATCCATCTAGCAGGAAGAGCTATTGTCCACTGAGCCGCTCTCAGTCGTCTTCCGTTCGTCTTTCAAGGGGCGAAAAACAGCCAAACCGGACTGCGGTGACTGGGCGAGAAAAAGGAGGGAAGGGCCTCGACTGCACTCTACCAAAATCTTACTTTCGTTCGCTCCTTTTCCTCTCTCTTTTCCCTTCTCCGCCCCGGGGCTCTCCCAGAGAAGCTTTGGTTCCGTGTTCGCACAAAACACTTGAAGAGTTTTCTCTCTTTTCTTCAAACAGTTTTCAAATAGCTTTCTTATTTTAGAAAAGAAAAGCCGGAATGCACAAAAAATATCACTTTCGACACCCAAAACACCCCAGTCTGTCCTAATCCCAAATATGTACGTTTGATCTCATAAACCTCCAACCGCGCAGACACACACACTTACACGCATTCTCTAATGCACAAAAATATTCCGAGGAAGCTTTCAGCTCCTCCGGTTCAAATAAATACACTCCCCGCAGCGACCGGCGTGGTAACGTTATCCCGTCCCGATGAGACCGTCAGTTGTCTGCGTGCGTTTCGGAGTGACGTTCTATTAACATGGGTATTATGATTGTTATTCTTTACCGGGGCGTCTACCACTCTCCACATTTCTTTGTCCATCACTGTAGTTAGTAGCAGTTGGTAATGTGCTCTCTCAGGTTTCGGCAGCAGACCCTGGTCTTAGTCTCTCTCTCTCTCTCCCTCTCTCTCTCTCTCTCTCGCACTCTTTCTGGCTCTTGCTCGCTCACGCAGTCTGGTAGAAGTTGTCTGCCTGCAGGTTGTTGTGTTTGGGCATGCTGTAGTAGCCGCTGTAGCGCGAGTCCGGGTCGGCGATGCGGAGCATGCGCTGTGAGCTGTCCACCTGGACCTTCGTCCCCTTCTGGCAGTCCACGTACACCAGCTGGTTATTCAGACACGTGGGCTGTTTCAAACAGACACATACACACACACACACAGTGAGCTTTCACATAAGTACAAACACACATCTTGTTTCACACCTTTTCCTACTTTCTGGCCAAAACTAAGGATGATCTGATCCGAAAGATGGGAGCCAATCAAGTAGCCTTGGGCTGATAATTATTACTAGCGAATATTGTGATATTTTAAAAGTGCCCATATTTTACAAATTATCGTTCTTTTGTTTTTTTCACATGCTGAGTGATTTAACCACTCCTAATGTATAACCAGTCTAATCTAGTTTTAAAAAATGTTGCGCTGCACTTAATTATTGGCTGTTCACACAGAACATCGCCAACTCATTAACTACACAAATACATACTCTGAATAATCACTTTGAGGGATTATAACGTAGATTTTCAGTCCGGCAAATAATGCTGGAGTGCAAATGAAACAAAGAAATGCTTGTATGGAAGATCTACTGCACAGCAGACAGTTACATCCTCAGTTGGACAATATTTTTTTATTTGGTTTCCAACCAAGCAAACATGGAGAACCACTGGATGTGAGAAGTAACAGCTTTTTGACAGCTACACATCCTTTCAGACTCACAGTGTCTCTCAAAGATTCATGTTTTTTCTTGGAATTTCCTTTCTGCAAGTGGATTATCTTATATCTAATTGCCTCATAAATATCTCCAAAAAATGAATAACTTCTACTTAATTAATAGCCTGTACAATTTTGACTGGATATAATAAATATATTAAGGGTGGTCCCTGACTTTTGCACAGTGCTGTAGTTATCATTATAAATGCTAAAATAATATCAGTGTGTAATATTATTTGTATTAGTAACATGAGGGAAAATGAAAGCTATTGGGTAACATTCACATGTGGTGCTTCGTAACTGATTTGGTTCACAATTACATTGTTTATTACGACAATTCTGCAGATGATAAGTGTCTAAATTAATGATTTGGATCAAGGCATATTTTAACAGATCAGTATTGGTTATATTAAGTCTAGTTCTGATATTTTGCTCAGGATTTTTACCCAATTACATTCTATTTACACAACAACTGCAGAGGTGACCAAGTTAACCAAGTTGGAAGTTAACTGGTTCATCTGCAGTGTGGAACTATTTTAAAGTTGAAAGTGCAAACAGCCTGTGGGTAACCTCGAAGTTCACACTGTGAGGTTTTATCTATGAAAACATAAATATCAGATCAGAATTGGCCTCGGCAGATATATTAGTATTGAATGACTTGAATCAAACACTTGATGGGGACATCCCCAATCTGAATCATTTCAACTACCCAGGCAGCCTAGGCAATGAACAACTGGGGAAGACTGAAATGCCTTAAAAAGACACCATATATAGAGGTGGTTACAGTGCACACCTACCTTAGTGGGAGTGCGATAGCAAGGCACAGGGATCCACTGCTTCCTCTGATTGACCAACAGCAGGGCGGTGACAGTGAGCACCATCATGAGGATGGGCAAGGCCACCCAGGCCCAGTGAAGGCTAGGATCCTCACTGGGCAACGGCGTCTTCCCATCCAGATATGGCATCTGTAGGCTCCCAAAGTCACCTACAGCAACCACATGCCCATTAGCACTCTTACAGCTAACCTCATAAGAACCATTTTAGGAGACCATGTTATTTAAGAAGCATCAAACAAGTCTGAAATGTCTGTCTCTTCACTATGAACAGTGTCTACTAAATAGCCCAAAGTGGCAGTCACTATGAAATGCTTACGTGCCCATATAACAATGTCCACACAACAATTATGGTAAGAGTGTGCAGAGAATTTAGGGCCAAGCACAAGCTTAAACGAGAGAAAAACAGATGAAAGGAAAACAAATAATTGGCAAATACAAAAGCAAATCAGGCTTTTCATCAAATTTGTTCAAATCAGAAAAAAATGTACTTCAATTTACTTCAATATACTGTTATGTAGTTATCTACAATAACAGATTTTGCCACAAAACTGAGACAAGCTGGCAGAAATCACAGTGGCTGTGGTTTGAGCTGAATGCCATTCTGAATTCATTTCATCATTTAAATCACCTGTGTTTTGTTTGTGTTCCTCTCACAAGCAAACAATACATAGCAGTTTCTAATGGATGTTATTCTGAATCCCCATCATCTTGTAAGTGGAGCCATTCTGCTCTAACTGTGAGTGATGTCTGCACTTGCGTCATCTTAGTTTAATGGCTAGTGTTACATTATGTTTGTAAGGGAGTCTGTTTAACAAATAAGGAAGCTGCATTATTGTTTGCTGTCACATGTTTCAGCTAAGCAACTGGCAAAAGTGTTTGAAAACATGAGCGTAATCTGTTCAGCAGGGGGCTGATAGGAGTTAGAGGTGAACTCTAACCTCTGAACTGCGGCATGATGTCGTTCTCGCTGTGCGTAGGCCAGGCTGGCCGATGCCTCAGTCTGTCTCCATGCTGGTCTGTCTTCTCTATGGGCACATTAGTGGGGACTATTTCTATAGGGAAAAATCAACATTATTTTAGTTATAACCACTTTCAGAATCTTTACTATCTGAGCATAAAGGTTCTTTAGCTTCTTGTTTTGTCTGTATAGCTGCATAACATATTGTGCTAAACACATTACAAACACATTGACACATAATAAATGCATAGTATTGCATTTACTGTCTGACTGCAGCTTTATGTTTGTGAAGTCAGATTTATGTGGAAGAAAATGGTTTTGCCTGAATGTAAAAAGCACTTCAGCTTGGTGGAAACCTGTCCAGCACAACTTCATCACAAAGCAGTGGTAAAAGACTGTGTCCAGTGTTCACTTCTTCTCATTAATTGTCTTGAAGTAGATTTGACACATAGAACAGCTTGAACGTGGAAAGAAAGCAGTGTTGCACATTAAAAGCACATCGTCAGCCTCGGAGAAAAGTGAGAAAAAACGCTAAAGGATGTGTGTTTGTGCCAAGCAGGGCATGCTCCAGGAGCATGCAGTGCCTCTCTGCTCTCCGGCTCCTCATTGATCTCGCTGCGAGTGACACAGCAATAAAGAGGGCCATGATCAATGGTTTTATCTCCCAAACGCACAGAGAGCTAATTTAGGTCCCCGACCAGACGCATCTGAATCCCTTTAAACGATTCATCTTAATGAGCCCACATTCTGTAAAGCCCCACTCAATTAGAGTAAACACTACTTTATGAGAGTGAGTGTGTGTGAGAGAGAGAGCGAGAGATATGAGTGAGTGAAAGAACTGAAAAGAGTGCAGCTGCAGGGCATGGACTCAGTCAAGGCCTCTCTCTGTCTGCAGGCACATTGTGTGATATACTCCAGCTTTCTTGACATCAGTGTTGTCTGTATTTCACATACCACATGCTTAAAGGCTGTGGCTTCTCAAGCCAGTCTGAAATGACACACAGCCCAGGGGCGCTAGATAATAAATGCCGGAGCTAAAAATGTGTGAAATGCAATGGTGCACGACAAATTTGCTTTGGGGATAAGAGATTATTCGGGTCAAATTTGCTGCGCGGATCATAAGCTCAAGGTAGCTAACATGCTGTACAGGCCTAAAGTATAGAAACAAGCACTATTTTGACAGTATTTTAATATTTCAAATATTTTATAATCAACAACTAACATAGTACAAAACCTTCCACTGGCTCGCATGTACTCTTACTCAAATGTGTGATATGGAAAAGGTGAGGCTGTATGGGAATTAGGGCTGTCACTATCAATTCTATGAGTTTCAAAATGAGTCCATACAGTCCCTGCAAAAACAGCTTGTTTTGAATGTAGTGTTTTCATAATAATATGAAAGCCACACATTTAGATGGTTCTTTCTGTAAGAGAGAGCAGTAGGAGAATTAACATCATGCAAAATGCCAACTATTCCCTGCTGAATCACAGAGATGCTACATTTTGATATAATTTTTTAAATAACTGAGTAATAATTAATAATAATTAATCTATTAATTGTGACAACTGTAGTCTCTTCCAAAGGTTTGGCCCGTAGTGTAGATCCCATGTGACAAAGTTTCCAGATGAACCCTGTAGTGTAGCATGAGAGAAAGCTGACCTGGGCACATGGGGCAGCAGCTGCCCTCCACTGTGATTGGCTGGTTGCAGGGCAGGGCGGGGCAGCTGACAGTGGAGCACAGCGTCTGGCCCTGTAGGCAGTAGCAGTGTGTGCAGCTGTCGATGTCCCATCGCTCCTCGTCCACGTACGTCTTCCCGTTGAAGTGGCACACGGCCCTCGGAGTGGCATCTAGCCGGGAGACGGCCGGCAGGAGAAACAGATGTTAAGTGTCAGCGAACACGACACCCACGTACAATCAGGCTGAAGCCAACATGTCTAAGCAGAGCAGTTACAGCTCTATCTCCATCTATGTTATGCCTCTCACTTAATGTTTGCAATTTGATGTACAGATGGTAATACATATTGCCAGGCTGTGACAGAACATGCTGTAATGCGCAGTGAAACAGCCTGTGGTTGGCATGTTAATGTACCTAGACAGTAGGGGCAGCACTGGCCCTTACGCAGGACAGGCCGGGCGCAGTTCACCGGAGGGCAGGACTCGGAGAAGCAGCTGATAACTCCGTCCAGGCACACACAGCTGGAGCAGACATTGGGCTTCCAGGACTCGGCGGCCAGGAAGATGTCACCCTCCTCGTTGCGGCAGTAACTGGGCATGCTGTCGTTGCTGGGAGCTGCCGGTGTTACTGGCTCATCTGAAACACAAGATAAACACACAAACAAATGAAATATCCTATTCATGCTCTGCCCACCAGTTAGTTCTTCTGCAGACACTATTGCTAGCTTGGACCAAATTTACAGAACACTGACAAAAATCTCTTTTGACCTAATGAAAAAGTGTAGTGCATAATGTGCACAACACCTATATTTAGAAAGTATGATTTCAAATGATTTTTATTTGTATACAGGGAAAATGGGGGTTATTTTGTATTAAAAAGATAAAGAATTTAACTTTATAATAACTTGTGCATAGTAAAGACCTATGTGTATTTGCCTTAGGGAGGAGTTTATATTCTTTTAAGTTTTACTTCCATTTTTCAAAATCTGCACAGTTTAATGCTGCATTTTCATAACAGCTTAATTGCTACTATTGCTGTTAGTCAATTCTCGCTAAAACACTTGAGACGGCCAGAGAAAAAGTTGCAGAGCTAATGTGTGTTTTGTACGCTCAATCTCAGCGTGTAGCAACTATGGGTGTAACACATTAGTTACTGCCACAATCTGATTTGTTGCAGCTCATTTGCAAGATGGGATTTCGGTTATTAAAAAATTGTATATTTTTGGCTTGACATCCCTGTGTACATATATGCTGATTTCCGTGGTATGTGCCCCTTTACGGTATTGACAAAAAACCCCACAACTCAGCCCGTTCATCCAAATTACTGTGTAAAAATTGAAACAGTTGCTGCAGACGCTGTTAGTGCAGGAGTGAGTGTGAGCATATTTTCTAAAAGAAAGGTATGACCCTTCCTCCTTCAGCTTCCGCCAGGCAGCTTCCTCACGCTCCACCTGGCTGCACGGCCCTGACTCAGGTCCATCAATATTCATGGGCCTCTCCAACAAAGCGCATCAACCTCCCCAGGTGTCTTCATTCTCTCACTCCAGCTGGAGACTGCAGGCTTATCTCAGCACGAGGGAGGACGTGTCGAACAGGGCCAGTCAGCCTGGTGTAAATGAGTCGGTTCATGTGTTCTTCAAGTCCAATGAAACAAGCCTATTGTACTGTACTGTCTCTGACACTCAGTAGGCGTGCCATGTACCACTTTCACCATACACTATTCATAAGTAGCCCCACTGTGCTTATACATTATGCACAATCGTAAGTCTTCTTGCAAACTTTTCTTCATGTCATGGGTTTCCACCATGCCAAACGTGTCTGGATCTAACACAGAAAAAAATCGGTCGTCACTGGGCCGTTGAGTTTTTGTCCTTTTTTGTGTCACTTTTGTGTAACTGTCACTGGACGTGGCTATAAGAACTTCCCTGACTTTGCTGCGATCTTGGTGTTCTTCTAATATGAGGCTGAAAGGGCTTACAGCTGAGCAGGGAAGCCTTGCGGCCGTGCCCAGGGCAGTAGCAGTATTTGCAGGCTGCCCTCTAAAAAATATCTGAATATAAAACAGCAGAGGTTTTAAAAATACATAAGGGTTGGAGTGGAACCAGAGGTTACAGGACAGCTCACCTGGGCAGTGTGGGCAGCAGGAGTCCTGTGTTCTGATTGGGCTCTGGCAGAGCAGCGGTGGACAAACCTCAGTCTCACAGAGCACACGACCAACGTGGCAGGTACACTGGGTGCAGGAGTCGATGTTCCACGTTTCACCTTCCACAAAGTACTCCCCACCTGGGGCCAAGCACACGGACGCCTCGCTCAGCTCCGGCTTATGAGAGCCTGACTCATCTGGATGAAGGAGAGATGTTTTAGAGCATGTAACATCAAACATTGGACTGCAAAGCAAAAATCATAGACAATTTATTCCAGACACTAATAAAGCCTAAAGCAAAACAGACCATGTAAATTAGTCTGAGATTACAGTCAAAGGTTAAATAGTTTGGCAGAAGATAAAACTATTTGGCCAAACAGCAGTCGATCCAGGTGACCAGCTACATTTGGGGTAGGGCTGTCACTATTTAGAATATATAGAGGAACTGGGTAATGTATCTTTTTTTGCCAATTAATCCAGTAATCAGTTTTTTTGCTTGTTTGTTTTTTGTGTAACTGAACTCTAACATACTGTACAGAGCCTTTCAATTTCAATTCTTAAATTTTTTCAAGATTCAAGAATACTTTCCTCAAAAAGATTAGGGGGGAGTCTGTAAATAATTTATATATAAATAAAACACTGCATGTAAAAATACATAAAATCATTATACTGTAGTATGTGGTAGTTTAATGCAGAGATCCCCACTTTATACGTAGTCTGAGTACGACAAGGCTAACAACTTCTGCTATCGCTTCTATGGTCATTTCAATGTTTTGTTAGGACCAAGCCAGCAGTGGTGTTCACTTGTCACACAGGGTTTAATACTACCTTGCCTAGCTCTGCTTGAACATCTGAAGCATTTGAAGCTTGTAACAGACATTCAAGTAGCATATTTTTTTACTTTGCACATTGCAGTTCTACAGTGCATCTTTATTGGAGTAGTGTGTTAGCACGTTCAGCCGAGACCTTGTTACTTCATATGTACAGAATTTGTAAACTTTTCATTTTACTTCACATACAAGTTTGTAAATACAAATATATGAGCGCTAATAGTTACCCTTTGTAGCTACTGCTGAACACGGCTTTATAATGATTTCATTTATGTCATTATCATTCAGACCACAAACTATTTAATAAGCAAATTAAAAACATAAACTGAACAGATTAATTTTGTAATTAATTGATTTTATTATTATTCATTGATATTAATTGAAGTATTTGTATTTGTGTAGTTTGGGGTAAGGGGAAAATTTTGTAAACTTGATTTTTGCCTTAGAAGAAACAGCTGGATGACAATGTCAGGTAATTAAATTGAAAAAGAAAGGTTACTGAACCTGGACACGTGGGGCAGCACTGGCCAGCGTGGATGCTGGGGTTGTCGCAGGAGGGCACTGGGCAGGAAATGAGGGCACACATCTCTCGGCCGGCATGGCAGTAACACTCCCTGCAGCCGTCGTGCCAGCTTTGACCGTTCTCATGTCTCCGACCATCCATAGACAAACACGAGCCCAGTTTAACCGAGGGGCCGGCAGAAGAGGAGCTCTGGTCTGGAAGCACAAGCCCACAGCTCATTGAGCAAGTAATGTTTAAGAGTCAGTAATGAGTGTATTTCAAATAGGGCACAGTTCAAACATCCTTGGAAGGCAGCATAACTTGGCTCCCAGTAAAGCAATTCGTTCTAGTTCAAATGGAGCACTGACTGACTAACTCCTTCACTAAAAAACATGAGAAAACCACAAGCTCCTTCAGCCAGCTGTATTTACATTTAAATTCCTGCCACTTGACCTCATCAGTGAGGTGCCACTGCCAACAGTGGGCGGCTGCACTATGTGCAATAAACGTCTTACACCCACAAGCCCCCCGTCCTAGCGCACTCCTTCTAATCTCACTGTATCCGCCAACAGCCTCTCCTCTCAATGCCTCTCCATAACAGCGGCAGCGGCCAACCAGCCTCAGATCAATACCACTGAGAGAACTCACCTTGATTAAAATCCTGCCTGCGAGATATGAGGCGGATGCGCTTTTTCAGAAATTCAAAGAGGGATAGATTATGAAAAAAAAAACGGAAAAAAGAGTTATTCTTTGCTTCTCGTTAATCAGATCCTGGCTCAGTGCTCCTCATGAATATTTCACGTGCGAGAATTCATTATTTAGGGCAAATCAAATGAGAACACAAGGTACACGAAAGCACAAGGGAGGATGAAGCTAGCCTTCGCGAGCAACAGGACAGCTTGGAAAGAGAAAATATGGAGAGGCTGACTAAGGTATGGAATCTGATCTTGTTTTGATGTCTGCTCTCCACATAATCTAGAGTTCACTCAGCAACACAGTCAACAACGGCTGCGGCACCGATGAAAGGTATGCAGCTATGACATTTCAATAAAAGAACGTGGGCCTACACAAGGCCGCAGCTATCCTCTTGACAATGAAACTGGACATTACAAGGTTCTCATAATGCCTGTTTTATTGGATTCTTATGAGCTTACATAAATCTCTGAGGACTGATTTGGAGGCTATACCTGAGCTGTTATTTGTGTTGACTACTTGAGCCACAGTGCAGCACGAAGAAAAACTGCCTCACATTAGTATGGACCAGATCACAGTAACAGAAAATGGCACTCACTGTCCGTAAGTAGCTTTTTACACGAGCTGTGCTGCACTTAAACTTCAGTAGGCCATATTTTGGCACCTCTACTGGTTTGGAAAGAAAAATGACACTTTTTACTCCAAACATTTTCTGCAGATAGATTTTGCAATAAAAAACCCTCTAAGCAGTGAGAACGTTTGTTCACAAATGCAGTCGAAAAATAAATGGACAATTTTAGAGAATTTGCATATTCGCAGACCTGAACTGTGGTATTCACTGAGCTGTGTAAACCCATAATTGCATGCATTTAAAATAAGCACTGAAATAATTACCATTAAATATGTTCAGTCTCACTTCCAAAAGCGTAAACGAACAGAAGCTTACCTCGACACTGGCATATCAGGCAGCCTAGCTCGTCCTGCTGGAAGCCCATTGGACACGGCTTGTCACACGGGAGCTCAGGGCACTTCTTACAGCGACAGGTGTCGCAGCCATGCTTGTTTTTACTGACAAAGGAAAGAAGAGAGAAACTGTTAGAGCGGTTACACTAGCGTGTGATCTGCTGTGGGAAAGAAATGGACACATAGAGTAACAGTCAAAAGTTTGGACACACCTGAATGCATGTTTTTCATTATCTTTAAGACTTTTGCTTAAATTCATTAAATCTGATTCCAAGATAAACAGAAAGTAAATTACATTTTTCAAAGAAAATGTTAGAAAAGCAACACAAGTGGCTCCTCATGAAGCTTCTTGAGAGAATGTAAAAAGTATATAATGCTCAATGCAAAGGCATGGAAGCCCATTCCTGCCAAGTACAGGAGAAAAAATAGTCCACTTTTTCTCTTCTCCTCTTTCTGGCAACAGTATGTCATAATTCTGATGTAGTATCACAACATAAATGCATATATATTTTTTAAGATTTTAACTGAGTGTTTCGAAATAATGACTTGTATCCCTAAATAATCACTTACTTTCTTTAAATTGAATAACAAAATCTTGACAAGTCAAAAATTTGAGAACAGAAATCATTTTGACATGGTAAGTCAAACCTTTGAGAAAATATATTATTTTATTTAGTACGTCAGAATCTTGAGAACATAAATCATCACTTTGAGATATTAAATGCAAATTTAGAGAAAATATGTCATTAATATGAGATACTAAGTCAATATTTCAGGTCAAAATTTTGACATTCTGCTCCCAGAAAACTGAGTAGGAAAAAAAAAGTTTTCCCCTCTACTTGCTGGGAAAGGGCTTCCATACAAAGGCGAGCTAGAATCAACAATATCACATAGTTTTGATTTAATGCTTTTTGATTGCTGTGCTTTTTAACCCTTTCGTATGAATTCACTATTATTCTAAAATGTAGAAAACAGCAAAAATATGAAAAAACTTTCCCTGGGCAGGTGTGTCTAAACTTCGAGTGGCACAGTGTATGGACACTAAGCTCTTTGGGACCGCTCATGGCTGCTGAGACACTGAATCAGTCAGGATATGTTGAAGTTTTGAGCCACCAAACAACTTTCTATTAAACTGCTATAACCACAGAGTGGACTTTGTCATTGCTTATGTACATATTGATGCGTTTATATTGTGCATGCGTAACGCACCAGGTGCTGAAGATGAAGCCCAATGTCATCAGTTAACGCAGGACAGAGAGTAAGAGAGAGCGAGTGAAAGAGAAAGAGGGAGACTAGCCGTCTTTAATGACCTTACATGTAGGAATGTCAGCAGATGGCACATTAAAAATGACTAACTAAAGGGACGTATCAAGTGCTCACATCACCCGGGCACCTTTATTCAGCCTGCGGTCCACTCTGCTGGAGCCTCCGCTGCCCCCTACACACATACACACACAAACTCCTTCCCTCTGTCCGTCGCTCCTCCTTATCTCATGAATAATAGCCGTGAGAAGCAGCCATGTGCAATGTGAATTCTGTTTGGTGATAAGGAGCTATCAGGTGTGATTTCACTGTTGGGGAATATCAATAGACTGTGCAGGAATGGGTAGACAGCACGTCACCTCATGCATTATTCACACACTGGCGCTGTGCTGGCTTGAACAATGGCCATCACTTTGAGGGAGCATAAATAGATATCTAAAATTAGAATCTAAGATGCGAGCATTCCCGCTCACACACGATGGCGGAATTGACAGGGGAAGCGGAGATGGAGCTGTGGTGACGTCACGCTGATGACAAAGAGAGGAGGCTACACTTTTAATCTGTGACAACTGAGAAACTCACTGTGACGGCTACAGCTGCATAATATATCATTCCTTAATCGTTATCGCAATACTGGCCGCCAAGAGGCTGATATCGTAGAGGTCTGCAATATGCAAATGAGCCTCTAACCAATCACTGAATGTTTAGTTGTGTGATGTATTCTGACCAATCACAGATGTTGTCTGGATGTTTGAAGTGTATCAATTAGGCTACTGAACAAGCGAACTTTTGCACAAGAAACCTCTTATACGCTGGAAGAGCCATGAAAAAAAAACAGGTCAGTTACTGAGACAAAACGGCGTCTATAATTTATACGGGCATGATGAAAGTTTTGGCCTTTGGAGGTAGAAACACAGATTTTTATCTCATTACAATGTCAGGCTAAAATATGCACAGAATAGCACAGTAGATGTTACATCTTGAAATTTGAAAATGGTCAAAATTTGAAAAAAAAGTCAAAATGACCATCTCATTTTAGTGTTAAAAATTTCGTCTTAGAGAGAGGAGAAAATCAAGCTCCCCTCTTGCTTTAGATCTAAAGAAATCCACAGGTGTTTCTGTCCGTCCTTCCACTGTGAGAAGATAACTCAACCCTATGAGTATGAAAGTATGTGTAGCTGTCAAGGAGCTGCTACTGAGAAAAGAAAATAAAACAAAAAGGAGGGAAATTTGCAAATCAAACTGACTGACCAGAGAGAGTCAAACATCTCATCATCACTGAATGCGTCTGGGATTATTTGGATCGTGAGAAGCAGAAAATGCAACCCACCTCTAAGACTGATATTTGGAGGTATGGAAAAGTACTCCTGTAGATTTCTTTGAAAAACTGAAAGCAAGAATGGAAGCTGCAATAATGACACCAAAATAGGATTTAGTGTTTGGACACCAAATACTAAAAAAATTTAAAATTACATTTAGGTGTCCAGGCTTCTGTGTATTTTTCTGTCAAATATGGAGTTTTTTTTGCTGAAGCTGAAAAATGAATAACTACCTAAATAAACTGAATAAACTAAATAAATGAAGGGTGGCCTTTGACTTTTGCGTAGTACTGTATGGTGGATTAAATGGGTTTATATTGAGGTTCCAATAATAGTATTGGCAGTATTCTGTATTGTGTTGATCTTTAACACCAAATTAAATTTTATGTAGAGTTTGTATTCAACAGTAATGCTAGAACAGTGACTCTGGAGCAAACATATCAAATACACAAAAACTCGCCACTGACAGCAGAAAAACCAGGCGAAACACAGAAAGAAATCATGAGATTAATACCACCTGATGCCTATCAAAACCAAGGACCCCATAGTCTTTTGCAGCACAGTGAATTAATGTAATACCTAGCAGGGCCTGTTTGTATCAGCCATTCCTGAAAAGAGCAGTACTCGGTATCTGGTCACAACGAAAGGTATCTGTGCAATTCTAGTTAGTAACAGAGATACAGCAGTGCAGGGGTGACTTTTAAAGAGTGCCTGTGAGCACTACACTGAGGAGGAAAAAGCCCAATGAGAATCATTGAATCTCAGATTATCAGATATCATTTCAATGATCAAGCAGCGATCTGTATTAAAGACAATGCTTTTAATTGTGTCTGTGGCATTTTTGGTTTCATCAGACAGTTTTGACAGTCATCCTCCCACACTGAGCTGCGAGTGTGTGAGCCAGGTGCTCTCCGTGCCTCGCTGTGGATGTGTGTACAGTCCCTCATTAACCTGCTGACAGAATAACTCTGCAAAAGTTTTTCTAAAGCGCCTCGCTGTAATTGATATGGGTGTGCACGCTCACGGAGGACTGGCGCTGGGTTTATTTGCAACGGCACAGGTACACGCTGTTTGTGAAGATTAGACCTTCAGTTCCACTATCGCAGGCCATCCTTTACCTGGGCCAATCGCCGGCGCTAATCTGAGTCTGGGCTAATTAGCTGTCAGATACATACCTGCAGCAGCCTGGTCCAAAACGAGCCGCCTGCTCTAGGGAGCAGGGTTTCGTCATTCAAAAATCAAGCCAAGCATGCAAGCAAACTGCAAGGAAGAGGTTTAGCTTGTGCTGACAGCTCTGCGGTTCTGCTTTGTCAGGGGTGACATGTCAAAATGAAGGTGTGATATGGGGAAAGAGGGGAAAAAACAGATTGAAACGTCTCCAAGATGAGGCTTAGGAGAGAGATAGAGGGGGCTGTCGACAGTAGAGGAAGGAGAGAGAGAGAGATGATGGTTTTGAAAGCACAGAGGATGCTAATGGTAAATGCTGGCAGTCTTACACGAAGCCAAAGGGGCAGTTCTTGGCGCAGGCTACCGGCTTGCACTTCTTGTGGCGCTGCCGGCACTGGCACAGGGCACAGCCATGGGCATCTGTCTGGAACCCGAATGGGCACTTCAGAGTGCAGCCTGAGATCAGACCCCTGCACAGCTCCTCTCCTAGAGACGAGAACATGCCAGACACCAGAGGTTATTTCCTCATTTACAGATTGAAAGCAAGTTTTAGCTTGAAAGAAATTAAACAGTTAAAGGACTCTTTCATTGATGCAGCTTAAAAGGTGATAATCAGCATGTTGGGAAAGAAAACTGAGGACTTCAGGACTAATTTAACCTTTAACAGCTTGCTAAATAATATTAAATACTGAATACGGTAAAATTATGAAAATACAATAATTCATGTATCCATTAATGCATCCAAAACTGGACCTCTATGCTATTACAACAGAATACATCTTGTTTTTAATATGTAAAGCATGTAGACACAGTTTTGGAGCTCCCTATCTAGCAGAGTTGCTTTAAGCTGGGCATAAAATCCAAACAGCTTTCTAAAACAGAGAGCATCATAAACTTAACGTCAGATTGTGAAAATCTGTCAAAAAGAGTAAATCAGGGTTAAAATTAGGGTACTGTAAGTCCAGTTTTAATGTTCGTCATTTAGAGAAGAAACAGCCATGAACCTCAGCAGGAGCTAACAAACACATGTCTGCAGTAACAGCTTTCAAAAACAGAGGTTAGAAAGTTTATTACCAAAAGACACTGAGTTACTCAGTATTATTAATTTTATCAAATCAGTTAATCCTAAAAAAAAAGACTGTATACAGTGATACACATGCAATTTGCACTGTGCTGGTCTCAGCCTCAGACACTGTGACTACATATAAACAGAGCTCTTTTCCATGTTAGGCTGGCCACCAGTATTGTCAGGTCCTTTGATTGGCTATCCAGGTTTCAATAGTAAACAAAGATAAGAAGAGTGTGAAGATCACAGAATCTTGTCTTTAAAAGTTATTCAAGTTTCCTTTGTAGCATTTAGTAGCTTTTAAGTGAGACATCCTCAAGTGCTTGCTAACACAATATGTTTCCTGCATGTTTTTGTGGCCCCTTTTTGAAAATCCCTAGCCTCCACATGTCATGCTACTACTCTGGTCTGTAGTTGGTTATTCTGTATGTCAGTAAAGCGGCTCTTTCCTGTCAAAGCAGGCAGTTCTAGGCCACGGTAAGGGCCAAAACACACCAGACACAGAAGTCTGGCTTGCAAGGCTAGCACAGTGCCTATTAGTTGGCGTAAACTCCTGATGCTTGTCAGACAGACAGGCCTCATAGCTCCATGGCAAAACTAAAGAACCAGACTTTAGACACCAAGCAAGTCTTGGCTGATCGACTATGTCTGAAATAGAAGAAACGCTGTGTAAATGTGATTTTCATTTCTTCAAGCTGAACTTATTCTCACAGGTATGAACAGTAAAACAAAGTGAACTACAGTCAGCTAAGCCTGCCTTCCACATGTCTGAAATGAAACTCTGAAAACATGATGGGAAGAGCTCACAGCTTTAGAAATAAACACCTGGCAGGCTTTTTCCTTTTAACAGAATCACACTGCAAGAGTTGCGAGCCCTTGATGTGACTGAAAAACATCAAACAAGCCGTGTTTTGTGCCACACAGCTGGTTTTTCAGTCCTCCATCGGCTAAATCAGCACTATCCTTCTTTTGATATGTGTCGCCCCACACACTCTCTCCCTCTCTTAGCATACTAAACAATGAGCTAATCCAGCAGCCTTCTCTGCGAGCGCTCTCCTGAATCCACTACTGCCTGGAGAGTTCGCAGCTAAACACTCAGTGACAGGTGGCTCTCCTGCCTCCATTGCAGGAGGACTGTAAAGCAGGCACACCTTCTCCAGTGGTCCGAAATAAGGTGATCTGGTTAATCCTAATAGGCACCCATGGCATTTTAGACATTAAACTATTTTCTTAGATTTCATTTCATTATTTCCCACTCGTAGCACTTTGAAACAAGGGGATGTTGCCAAAAGAGGGGATTCTAAAGTCCATATTTTATCTCATACTATGATCTGAATTTGATAAATTTAAAAACAAACAAAGAATTCAGAAGTGCAACCTTTCAATATGGAATGTAAATCAAAAATACATGTAATTCATTTTGTAACTAACTATGAATTAAGTAACTGCATTTAAGCAATAATGTAATGTAGATCTAATACAGCACATTATGACAATAATCCGATCATAATCGGATTTCTGCAGTTATCTGATTAATCAAATGGTCATGTAAACAGCAAACTCCGATTTCTTAGATTGCAGTAAGACCTAGAAATCCGATTAAGAAATCAGAAGAGAGCTGGATTTTAGCCTAGTAATCAGATTTCTCAGTGCATGTAAACTCTTACTTTACTTTACTTTCAGATTTCTCAGTCTGCGCATGTGTGAATCAGACTGCGGTACCGGAAGTAAGCAAACAGCGTTGCTGCGAGTTCTGGAGCGACGCTGAAACCAACTACATGTGTGACGAATTGAAGGATATAAATTTTCTTCATCTTCTAGATGATATATTCATAATTTTAGGTAAAGTGGAGCTCATAAGTGGAGCTCATAAGTGGATAACTCATTGATGACTTAAGGGGTTAAGTACAGAGCAGGCCATTTGTAATGTGCTTGACAAAAGAAATTCAGACAGCACTGCTTTGTTAAAACACAACACACACGTAATTCGTTATGGACTAAACTTTTTGTAAAGGTACTTAATTATGTAGTTCCATTCAAATGCACAATAGGTCTCACTTGTTTTGCAGCTGCAAGTGCGACAGCCGTCCTGGTCCAGCTGGAAGCCGTACAGGCAGTCCTTCTCCGTCAGCGTGCAGTTCTCCAACGGGCCACAGGCAGGGGGCGCCAGGGTGATGTAGGTGGGCTCTGGAAAAAAAAGGAGAAAAAAAAATCATACACACGAATCCCCCCAGTGGAGGTGAGTCAGGCTGTGTAAGTCTGTGTGTGTGAGCGAGAGACAGAAAAAGATAGAGAAAGAGGGAGCTGTGAGGGAATGTGGAGACTCATACGGGACGAGGCTTATGAGTCATGGGAGTTGAAAGCAATTTTCCACACACCTCTCTTCTTAGCTGCTGTTAATGGCTGAGAGTGAGATGACAGAGAGCACAACAACAGGAGACAGGAGAGAGAGAGAGAGAGAGAGAGAGAGAGAGAGAGAGAGAGAGAGAGAGAGATAACATATGTTGAAAGGTCCTTATCTATTTTCTGTTTCCCTTTCATGCCCCTCATACTGACATCTAATTCTAATGTGAATTCCTGGTGGTTATAATTTATTTGTTAGAATCCATTAAAAGATTATGGGTGGTTTTTAATATGGGCGAGCGTGCGTGCTGTATATCAGTGGCGTGCGACCCCGACTCGCAGTTTAGGTTATGACAGCTCTGACAAGCTGCAGCGCCGTCGCTGTCATCGCCACTCTAAATCATGCCATGCTCTCAGCCCAAACACTGCCACTGAGCCCATGGAGCTGGACCACCAGTACATCCTGAGAGAGATGAGGAATCAGGAAAGGGAGACAAGCTGTCAGGGGGACTACTCATGAGATGCTTTACTGGACACCTGTCTACAGCTGACACACGTAGCTTTCATCACAAGTGATGCAAATGAGGTAGGAAATAACACATAAGGCTACATTCTAAGGCCCACCCAATATACCAGCCTATATTAGCATCTGTCTAACTTACTGTAAAATAAAACACATATACTTAATGTCTTGCTTAGTACTGTAACAAACAGATGCCCCTGATACAAGAATAACTAAGAATTCTGAGGATTACTGGATTCTTATGCTCATAAGCTTTAGACTACTTTTATACCTGACATTTACCTGATATTTCAAGTATTTGACAGTCAATGTCACATCAGTCACTAAAGCACTGTTGCCTCAAAACTACTGATGTCTGTTTACATTTATTTAAATTATACTGTCAGTATAATCAGTCACAAAACGGATACTGGTCACACTACAGCCCTGAATCAAATTTTTCTGAACAAATCAGATTTTTCTAGAGCTGTGTGAACACAAAATCCGGATTACCATGAGACTGTGCTGACATAACAATTAATGCGATTCACATCACTTTACTGCATGTGCATTTCACTATGATCATCTTCCAGCATCTATGGTGTGTCAGCAGTGGCTAACTTCATGATAAAATGTGTGCACTGTGTACTTTTAAAGGTTTATTTACACAAATGACAGATACGGGTCACTTATAAGCACAAGAGTGTGAACCATCAAAGCAGAAAGATCTGTGGCCTGTGATTTGAATGCAGCCTTAAAACAGAGCACTTTTTAAAGAACAGTGGTAGGAGAATGGGGTAGCCATCCATAGCGGCACGTCTAGGGATGACAAAACGCTGATGTCATGGGTCCACCGTGGCCAAGAGGCAGCTGAAGCATGCCGGCTATTTGGGCTGGCGGTCAGAGGTCGTTTTGTTGAAAATTCCCACGGGCTGTTTGCGAAGAACGAGGAATGAGGCTGAAGGCTGAGGAATTGCTATTATTTTCTGGACGAGAAATTTAATTAAGCGGGATCAGATAGGGGCTGAGAATGACGAAGTCTTTCTTTCTCTTTTTCTACCACTCTTTTGGCCTGATTTTTTTTTTACTAGTTCTCTTTCTCAGTGCGCCTCTGCCCAAGGTTATTTTGTCTCAATCGTTTATGGACCCTTTTTTCTGAGAATATATGGTTATTATGAATTAAAAATGAACTCACTCTTATGGTCCTGAGGGCAAAGATGCAGAGTCTTTCCTCGATTCATTAAAAGAGCTGCTTTTCATTAAGCCTCAATGCCCTTTCCTTGACAGGGCCTGTGCGTGTGTGGGCCCGGAGCAAAAACAAGGCAAATCAACCACACACAAATAAACTAAAGCACAGAGATATTCTTGTGCAAACACAGAAATAGAGCCCGTCATACATACACATAGACACACTGGATGAGGTGTAACTCAGGCGTGGATCCCTTGGCGTTTGTGAGCCTCGCTAAGCGCGGTGTGAGCTCATAGCAGCTCGTCCCAGTCTGACAGTCTTAGTTTGTTTAATTACACACCCGGCGTCTGGCACAAAACTCCCCTCGGACAGGAAGAAGGGGTGTCACCTTGAGCAAAACAAGGTCTCTCAACAAATAACATTCAGGGAATAAAAATGCATGAGCACAGAGTGACCAGTAAGGAGCTGAAGATCAGGCCTAGCCGGAGAGCCAGGGCTAAATCTAGCAGGACTCGTGGGGTCTGGACGCAGTGAGTGTCTGAATGGCCATACAGAATGCTGTGGTTTGCCAGTGGTGCCAAAAAGCTGAGTACTGGCTCTCACTCAGCTGCTAGCAGCTAATACAGGCTGATACATTGTGTTCTAGCTTTGCGATGTTAGAAGCACATTGTGTTGCCAGGCAAATGAGTCAATTACTATTTCACAGTATCCCACTCCTGCCCTACATATTTTGACATTTTCCCTACTCTGACACCCCTGAATCAAGCTCTCAGTTAAGGGACACGTATCATGGAAAACTGTATTTTCCTCACTTTCTTGAAGCATAACTGATGTAGTTTGTGAAGTTTCAAACATACTGTTCACTCATCAGTTCACACAGCCCATAGGTGGAGACTAAGCTGTGAAAATGACCCATTTGAATTTGTTGTTTTTGTGACGTCATAAAAACCTTGTATTTACATATATCCGCCTATTTAGCCTACAGCTCACTTTAGCCCTGCCCACTCTTGCTGAAGTTATAAGGAGTGTTTCAGCCCGAACTGCTGTTTGAACGAGGCATAACACAGGGCAGCCAATTGAGTTCATTTACATATACAGTCGTATGCAAAGGTTTGGTGTTTCTGGTTAAATAACATGTTATGTTGATTTATTGAAAAAAAGTATACATCCTCAGCAAAGAAAACAATTCTGCACATTTTAATGCACGATTTGGCTGGGGGTGTTTCAACTTTTATAGATGACTGTGTCAGTCTTAAAGGCACAGTAACAGAAACAGCCTGTTTAATTATAAAAGATAAAGAGAGGTTGGAAAATACTAATACAAAAATTAATTATGACTATTTTTGTGGACCTCAGGGTAAAAATACAAAATACTAAAAAAAATGTAGGATATGGGCCCTTTAGTTGCTAAGGACTTGTATAAGGGTCCACATTTCCGTCCTTCACTCTCATAATCTTAAATCTTATGATAGTTACTAAATACCACTTCCGAAGATTCATAACTGAATAATAAGCCTGCAGTTAATGGGGTTAAAAGTAAAAGCATATGAAAATCAGCCCCCTAACATGTTAAGTTCAAGTCAGAATTCCACCGCACATGTCTGAGTCAGTGGTCATATTTTTATATGTATGATCATATTATATGTCAGGGTCACTGACATAAGCACACCCAATGTCACAGCCAAAACAGCAGTGTGCATTACAGACAGTGAGCATACTTACTCCCTTTGCATTTTCTTAAAAAAACATTTGTTTTCTTGTCTGAAAATGTACTACAACGTAGTACTAATGTAAGTCATCTTAAGATGCCCACAAATCCTATGGTTTGCAGTTTGCTGCAGGCATCCACGTTTTTCCGAGTAGAAGCAAAGGGCAGCATTAAGATTGGAAACTGGGAACACCAACTCAGAAATATCTGACTTACGAGTACAACAGAAAGCAGCAGGAAAAACACTAAAATGCGCAGGTCAGGAAGACCAGGGTTGGCAATCACTGATGCAACGTCATGAGCAGCAGTAGTCAGTGGTTTCAAAAAGACTTTTCACGCACTAGAGGTTTCACAGACCAGTCAAGCAGATGACTTGTCGACTAATAAAGCCACTAGTCGGCGCTGTGGGCAGCAGTTGAGCAGTCGAGGACAATTTAATAATGAAATACAGCAGCTTAGCAATGAAATACAGCAGCAGAAAAAACAGCAGTGAACAGCCAGGAGGAGACTCAAACAGTTTTTCTGCTAAACACAAAGCCCCGAGTACTTCATCAGTGTAGAAATACTACACAAGGTGAAACCAATTTCACTGCAAGCAGCTAACACCACGCTGAAATACAGTCTTGCAAGCCAGTCTGTGCAGGTTTCGAGAACCGCCGACTTTGATAGGAAAGGGCCATTTGATTGACCAATCACAAACCGTTTAACGTGACCTGTGTGCAATGGAAAACAAATGCATGTAGTACACCAGCCACCAAGGATATCTCATTCAGCTGCTACAAACAGTCTAAAACTAGTGGTGCACAGAAGCGCAGACAGAATATTTTTCTTATATTTTTTTCCTCAGACACCACTTATGATATTTGTGTGGTTAAAGTATCAAAAACAGTTACAATACATTTTTACAGGATTTTCCACCCTTTCTTCATCCTGTAGAATTTCACAGTCTGTCTATTTCTGTGCCTATAATAATGATATATGTAAATGGGCTCTGTTTTGATTGGCAGTCCGGTTTTGTGCCTTATTCAAAAAGTTGTCCAGGCTGAAACATCCCCTTCCAACTTCAGCATAAACAGCTGCTGCAGGCTGAATAGGAGGATATTTGTAAATGTGTTGACATCAGAGATCATTTGAGTTCAAAACAGCAGCTGTTCTATGTATGTACTGTATGGACTGGGGAGAGAAAGGTATGCTCTAAAACTCAGTGTTTACCTACTACATTAAACTCTTTTATTTGAAAAAAGTGAGGACAATTCAGCTTTCCACGATATGTACCTATGGCATGCGCCCGTACCCCAGGCCTCGACGACGGCCGCAAGAACCGGTAGGAAGGCGGGGCCTGAACTCCAGGCGAGGACAGAAGAACTGGTGGACGGTGGGGGACAGTGCACAAATCCTGAACACTGTCGAGGGACGCGAGTGATGGCGGGAGGAGGACGTCAGCG